GGGGGGGGGGGGCAACTGTGTACCATTTTCTTTATGTATGCTATACATACTGTGTTCTCAGATAATATATTGTGGTTTCATGCATCTATAGAAACCAAGACATTGAATAACTTCACATTCTTAGCAGCATGAAAAACAAAACTGTTCATCATATTTTGTATAAATTGTTTATAGAATGCTTCACAGCATTATAATGCTCCCATTATGATATAATCACTAAAGCTGCTACTGCAAAATGAAGTGAAATATAAAACATATGACATTTGACATTTGTGTATCTATATTTGTGCATCAGATTGCTGAAATCTCATCAGGTGTTTATTGTTATTGACAGGTATAAAGAAAACCTTAAATACCTCTTATTTACATTCATGTGCACAACAGACACCTCTGCAGTTGGTTACAAAACTCAACTGAAGCAAAAATAATATGACGTAACTAGAAAATTTTGATGGAACCTCATTTAGGCAGACCTAAATGGAATAGTGCAATCAACAGTCTCATGTTTAGCTAATCCCAGCTGCCGTAATCATAATCTTGATTGTTTATTCGATTAAGTGCACAGCCTTTTACAGTTGTTCTAATACTCAGCTATTTGTCATTATCACCTTACTGTCCGTAATTATGGCCCGGTTTCATAGACAGGGCTAAGCCTAAACCAGGATTAGGCCATAGTTCATTTAGGACATTTAAGTTATTTTTATAAACATGCCTTATAAAAAAGCATTACTGGTGTGCATCTTAAGACAAAACAAAGGCACTGACATGTTTTAAGTTAGGGCAAGTTTTTTTCAGTTGAAACAGCTCAGATTTACATTTTAGTCTAGGACTAGGCTTAAGCCTTGTCTGTGAAACCAGGGGTAAGAGTTCATCAGCATTCAGTTAGGCCAAATAAAGAGTCCATTAATTCACCAAAAATACATTCAACAGGAATTTATAACCCCAGGAACTCTGAAGCGTACACCAAACCTTTTGATCCATGGCTATGCTAACGAGTCTGTCAATCGAAGTGATTCAGAGGCTAGTGAATGAACTCTGGCTTGAGTTAGCATGACAAGCAACAGTTGCAAATGAAGTGATTTACATAAGAAACAGGCGCTCCAACCGTTAGCATCACGTCAAGCCTTGCCGTATCACAAATAGTGACTACCATTGCATTCTCTTCATTACAGCACCATGGTTTCTGTTTTCACTGAAGAGAAGGTGCTGAAAGGAAATGTTTAGAGGGAAATGGGCTTTATAT